TGACCCAGAGGCTGTAGGGCATCTGACCCAGGGCTCCCATGTGCTTCAGATGGTTCAGCGGCTGAGGCTCCTCCTGACTCAGATAATGCTCCAGACTCTTTGGCTGCACCATAATAAAACACACATGGGAAACAACAAAGTTGTGATGATGCACATTAATAAGATAATGTGACCTAAACTCGTCAGTCATGAGAACTTTGTCACATCCTTAATGAAAATTTATAAACTAAATTTAGACCATGATTCCTTGTGTCCTGTATCTTCCACATCACTAGAGTATGTGACTACATTCGTCTTTTGAGCTCTGATTTTCACCTATTTGCTTCTTAGTTTAATGAAAAAATATTGCCACGAGGTCCACTTATTGGAAATGACTGAGAGCTTTGCTAAATGAAGGCCACAAGATGCAACTAAAAGCTGAAACTGCTGCAACATTTCCAGTAAGTGGACTTCACGCTAAGAATATTTAGTCAAACGACTATTTCTAAAGTTAATAATAAACCTTTAAGGTCAATTTGTTTTAAAACTACATTTTTACTAATAAGCTCCAAGAGTTTCTTCCTTTGAACTAAAGACTTACAAGATGTGGAACTGAGTCTCCAAACTTTGTCTGGAACTGATTGACAAAACACTTGATGAGCCAGTAGCAGTCGGCAGAATCATCTACAATCTCCTCCATGGCTCGACTGATGGAGAGGAAGTCCTCATTCTCTTCATCCTGCAGCAATAACACACCGATGTCATACATTACTGCACCAAAAATGAATCAAGCAAGGAAGAATTCAAGTATCAGTAGCATGTAAAGAACAATGATAGCAGCATCCATCACAGCATCAACAGAACAGACCTGCAAAAACTGCCACTGCTACAAAAAATACAAAATATCTAGTAGTAGTCATCTCACTTGTCAAATTACAGTCCGACTTGATTTTGAGAATTAATCATCTTCATAAACAGTGGTATTGCATACGGTTTGAGGGAGGGATATTATTTAAAAATGCAAAGAAAATGATTCATTGTGACACAAACGCTGACTTGAAGCATTAGACACATGAGTATTAGTTCTTTAAAGAGAGACCTCTTGAGGGTGATTTGGGAACATCCCCGCTGCCAAAATGTGACCCTGGTTTGTCATTTGATAGAACCAAAAGCACTGACCAGACTATGCTCACATTAACACCAATATATCTGTGGTCAGACACAGGAAACACATATTAACACCAAAGATCTATTCTCTACAGGGGCTTGTGCATTATGTGTATAAAAAAGCAGGTCAACTTCTAATACAGTAACTACGACTGAACTAAAATGTATTGTTAAAAAGCCCCTCGTCTTTGTAGATTCCTCCCAACAGTCTTGGGCACAATGGATACATTTCTAACTGCACCTGTTTGTGTCACAGACTACAAAGCTCTGCACCTCAGTTCACTCACATTTCTGGGCCTGAGACTTCCCATATGAGGCTGCATCAACATCACTTTGTAATTTTATTTCTCTAATTAGTTCTACACAAGCCCTGATCAGTTAAGCACCTAAAACTCACCTGTCCTAAAAAATCATGCATGAATGCTTCAACACAGCCTGCAATCAAGGTCACCAGACATCATCTCATGTTTTCTGATAGTTTATCAGTCTCAGTTACAATATTACAACTCTGGTAGGGCTTCACCTTACCGGGGGTGAGGTCTCTGAGCACCGTGGGAGCACCTGGCTCTCCAGCTGGAAC